TTTCCTTTACCTTTTGTCCAAACTTGATGCTTGATTTCTGTACATGCAGAATATTGCAAGCAACATATTTTAAGAAGGGGAGCAGGGGATGGCTGCTGTGATTGCCTTTGGTTTATCAGCTGGTATTTTCTTCTTTGTAATAGTTATGGCAACTTCCAGTTGCAATTTTCTTCTAGGTAGCCGTTCCCTGCTGTTAAACTGAGGAAGGCACAATGGATCTGGCATATGTTTGTGAGTGGGAGAAGCGCCCAAAGAGTAACCACTGCCCATCCATTCCATTGGTCTGCGCCTGGTCTTGTCGCAACTTGATTGCTTTCACCACGGACCTCAAAAATGAGGAGGAAAAAGGTATTTCCTACTATGTTGGCTTCTTTGCCACTGACGTTGCTCTTAATATATTCTGGAATAAAAAGATAGTTGCTGCAATTGTTTTAAATTTTAAAATTGTTTTAAGGTTTTAACCAGTTTGGTCTAATATTTAGGGCGCCAGGGTAGAATCCAGAAGACTGACATGCCTTACGGTGAAAACTGACTAGGTGACTTTGCATCAATCACTAGGACAGCGGTTCTCAACCTATGGGTCGCGACCCCATTTGGGGTCGATCGACCATTTCACGGGGGTCGCCAAACAAGGCTGTCCGCCATTTTTTCCCCTTTTCCGGCGGGTGCCTTACCTCCCTTGGGCTGGGCCAGCTGGTGGTCGGCCTGCTCCGTCTCTGCCGCTTGCCAGCTACGCCTCGGCCGGCACAGGGGGCGGAACCACACATGTGCGGCGCTCCTGGGCAGGGAAAGTCCTCGACTTACGACTGGTTGGGTAGTCCTCTACTTACGACCGGTTTAGTCCCCGACTTACAACCGGTTTAGTCCTTGACTTACGACCGGTTTAGTCCTCAACTTACGACCGGTTGGGGGTCGCGGCATTAAAAAGGTTGAGAACCACTGCACTAGGAGATTGGGAGTTCTAGTTCTACCTTCGACAGGAAAGCCGGCTGGGGGACTTTGTGCCAGTCACTCTCTCTCTCAGCCCAATCCACCTCACAGGGTAAAGAAAATAGGAGGAGGAGGAGGAAATATTGTATGCCACCTTGAGTTATTTATAAAAAAAATAAGAAAGGCGGCATACAAATAAATAAAAATTGCTCACAAAAGGGAGGAAGATTATTCGGTGTATTCATTGACTTGATTTTATTTATACAAAGAATAAAGGCGGGGTATAAATAGATAAATAAGAGAATATGAAGAAATGGACAATCTTGTATCAAATATAGGGGTCAGCCCATTACATAGCCTCAATCTGATAATGGTGAATTTATTGTATTTTCTTGGATTTCACAGAGAATTGGACAGATTACCTAAATTCATGGATGGCTCAGGGGAGCCTCCAGAGACAACCAGCTCTTGAATCCTAGATAGGCAAGAGACCATAGCTGTTGCTTTCCCCGTCATGAAAGGTTTTGGTGCCGAGGTCAAGGATCCAGGCCACTGGGAAAGCTTCAAGTTATTTTGAATACAGGTTCTCCTCAACTTACCACCACGATTGAGCCCAAAATTTCTGTTGTTAAGTGAGAAATTTGTTAAGTGAGTTTTACTCCATTTTACGACATCCCTGAAATTGTTAGTTACCGGGTTGTGAAGTGAATCTGGCTTCCCCATCGACTTTGCTTGTCAGAAGGTTGCAAAAGGTGATTACATAACTCCAGGACACAGCAACCGTCATAAATATGAAGCAGTTGCCAAGCATCTGAATGTTAATCACATGGCCATGGGGAGGCTGCAAAGGTTGTAACTGTGAAAAATAGTCATAAGTTACTTTATTCAGTGCTGTTGTAACTTTGAACGGTCACTAAATGAACTGTTGTAAGTCGAGGACTACCTGTAGTCCAATGCAGATATGGGGAACTAGCATGGAAAATCTGCCCATTATTATTATTTCTCCATTTAGAGCTGGAAGTGAGTCTAGAGCAGGGGTAGGGAACCTTGGCTCTTTTATGACTCGTGGACTTCAACTCCCAGAATTCCTGAGCCAGCATGGCTCAGCTTGGAAACCTCTCCCTTTCCCCTCAACATGGCTGGCTCAGGAATTCTGGGAGTTGAAGTCCACGAGTCATAAAAGAGCCAAGGTTGCCTACCCCTGGTCTAGAGCCTCCCTCAATCTTAAGGCCAGCTTTGCCATCTCATTTACTCTACCAGATCTCCAAGCAGCTGCAATGTTAATTCTAAATAATATTTCCTCCCCTCTGCTGCTTTCTCATCCATTTATGTCACTTTTTTTCTTTCATTTCCTTCCTCAGACCTCACCCATATGGTCCATATCCTTGACACGGAACATCCGTGGGACGTCCACTCCATCAATTCTGGACACATAGAAATAATCACCTGCTTGGAATGGGATCAGTCAGGTAAAGGAGGGCAGCTGTAACTTGGTGCACCTGGTTCATTTCGTGGCACTTTCAGATAAAAAGTGTCTCCAGCCCTGGATTGCCTGGAAAGATCTTAGCTTTTTCAAAAAAAAACAAAACTTGAAATGTCAAGATGAGTTGATGAAATTGATATTAAAGATCCACTTCTTCAGGCTGGTACTTTCCAGATTTCTTGGAGAGAGTGCCAGGATGAGGAAGGGTGGTTTATATTATTAGACACCCAGCTGACCTTGGCTGATTCCAGAAGCTATTTCAATTGGAAACCACCAGGAAATTCCATGACTGTAGAGCAGCGGTTCTCAACCTGTGGGTCGTGACCCCTTTGGGGGTCGAACGACCCTTTCACAGGGGTCGCCTAAGACCATCAGAAAACACATATTTCCGATGGTCTTAGGAACCTGTCTCGCTTTCAACTCCCCCTAAAATTCTTCATTCAGGCAGGCTTCCAGAGTTCGGCCAGCAGGATGCAGGTAACCCCTCCCCCCTGTCCTGCTGCCTCCCACGGCATTGTGCCACTCCGCGTCCCGTGCCTCAAGCCTCCGTGGCACAGAACCGCTGGCATGGTCCCCAATGGCCACTGACACTCTTCCCGCCGCCAGCGACCATGCAAGCCCTGGCAATTTTATGGTTGGGGGTCACCACAACATGAGGAACTGTATTAAAGGATCGCGGCATTAGGAAGGTTGAGAACCACTGCTGTAGAGTATTCACAAAATACCCTAGAAGAAAACATGGACAAACCATGTCTGGGTTGTTGCCAAGACAATTACATGGCTTGTCCATATAAAGGAGCATGAAATTGACCTTGATGAAAGAATACAAGGTTCATGAAGAGATAATAAATGATAATTCAATTCTGGGAGGGAGAAGAGGACATGAGAAAGAGACTCAAAATAACCCTACCCTACTGTTTAGTATAAGAGGGCGCAAGGAAACTGGCAGCCTTTCAAGATCCTGTTATTATAACCTATGATGATAAAATAACATTTCACTAATCCTTGTGTGGTCTCTTTCATGATATTCCCTAAATCAAAGAGTTGACAGTTCCTAAAAGAAACTTCAAGATAGCATTCAAATATGCGAGATCAGCTAATTCCATTTTACAGCCAGAGAATGGGCCTGTAACTCCCTTGATTGGTATCCTGACCTCCTTCATTATTATTTTTTTTCTTGGCTGCAGGATCCAGACTTCTGTCTGCTGACGCTGATGGGCACATCAAATGTTGGAGTATGATGGACCACCTGGCCAACAGCTGGGAGAGCGCGGTGGGCAGTGAAGTGGAAGGAGACCCAGTAGTGGCACTTTCTTGGTTGCACAATGGGGTGAAGCTGGCTTTGCATGTGGAGAAGGTAAGTAGGTTAATGAAGGGATGCTTTCCTACAGGTAGTCTTCAGCTGACATCCATTCGTTCAATGACCGTTCAAAGTTCTGGTTCTCATAACTTGGGTGTGCGGCTTGTGATTACAACATCACAGTGAGCTATAGTCACACGATTGCCACTTACAACCTTCTCTGCCAGCTTCTTGCAAGCAAAGTCGATACTGCAACGGTCGTATGAAAAATAGTCATAAGTCACTTTTTTAAATGCCATTGTAACTTTGAATGGTCACTGAATGAATGGTTGCAAGTGAAGGATTACCTTTAGTATTCTTGACAATCAGCTGTCTCCTAAATAACTTCTGTTTCCTTCTGCCCATAGTCTGGAGCATCCAATTTTGGTGAGAAATTCTCCCGGGTCAAGTTCTCCCCATCGTTGACCCTCTTTGGTGGGAAACCCATGGAGGGCTGGATCGCAGTGACCATCAGCGGGCTGGTCACCGTCTCCCTGCTGAAGCCCAATGGACAAGTGCTGACCTCCACGGAGAGCCTCTGCCGCCTGCGCTGCCGCGTGGCCTTGGCTGATATTGCTTTCACCGGTGGAGGCAACATTGTGGTGGCCACGTCAGATGGCAGCAGTGCCTCTCCAGTCCAGTTCTACAAAGTCTGTGTCAGTGTGGTGAACGAGAAGTGTAAAATTGACACAGAAATCCTCCCCTCCTTGTTCATGCGCTGCACCACAGACCCAGCTCGGAAAGACAAATATCCTGCAATCACCCACTTGAAATTTCTAGCTCGGGACATGTCTGAGCAGGTGAGGTCCTTGGGGTTTCCTTCTCCAGTCCTTGCTGCCTCTTCCTTCTAGCTACTTGGCCAACAAAAGACAGATCAAATAGTGAAGAATCTGGAGAACTCTGTGTAGAAATATGAAAGGAGTGGATATTGTTAGTCCACATGGAAGGATATGATAGCAATGTTGCATTTACAGGTAGACCTTGAATTACAACCAGTTGCTAGTAATTGTCCCAAAGATGCAACTGGACTTTGTTTTTTCTGCGAAGATGTTTCGCTTCTCATCCAAGAAGCTTTTTCACTGCTTCAGAACTGGAAAAGCTTCTTGGACGAGAAGCGAAACATCTTCAAAGAAAAAAAAAATCCAGTTGCCTCTTTAAAAAGCACCTTTGGGACAACCATGACCTGGATGATGACTAAGAATCTCCATAGACATTTGGTTAGCGATTGTTTTCAGAGTTACAGTGGACTTCCACAAGAGTACCTATGACCTGGTTCTGAAGTTCCAATGGGTGCCCTCCACCCCAAGGTCATATGATCACATGTACGGCTGTTTGTAGTGTCCCGTGGGCATATGACCATATTTTATAATGTTTTTGACAAAAACTAGCATTTACTTCTGTTTTTCGTAAAACTGGGTTATAGCAAGAAATGGGTTCATTTAATGACCACAGCGTCTGCTTAATAAGTACTGCAAAAAAAGTTGTAACATTGGTGCTGTCATGTGGGTGAGCCATTTTATGACCATCACAACTTATGACCATAATAAGCAGGTTCCTTTAGAATTATAAGTCGAGGACTATGGAAAAAGAGCAGAGAACTGCTTTGGTCCCAAGAGCTTCATTCCTTCACAGATTATCTTTGGAGAATGGTTATATCTTGGAAGTCAGTAAAAGCCATAGATCAGTACGGACAGAGCTTATTCTTCACTCAAGTGCACTGAGACGTGGATATGCACTCCCTCACATACATCTACCCATATATGGAGATGCTGTCTTCTCACAGTAATCTCTGCCTTTCTCTAATTTCTTCGAATTTTAAACAGCTGCTGGAGCTGACCTTAGGCCATCCAGAACAATGTTTTTCAAACTTCGGGACTTTTAAGACACGTGAGCTTCAACTCTTAGAATCCCCCTGCCAGTCAGCATGCTAGCTGGAGAATTCTGGGAGTTGAAGTTCACACATCTTAAAGTTCCAAGTTTGAGAAACGTTCTAGATCACGGATGTCAAACTCGATTGCGTCACATAATTTATCGTGACATATCGTGACGTCTTTTGCCTTTGTGGAGCCGGGGTGGGCGTGGCTTGTATGTGACTCATCCAGCCTGCGGGCTGCCAGTTTGATACCCCTGTTCTGGATGCACAATGAACAAATGGGGGGAGGAGCTTCCAGTGAACTCTGAAGCAAGTGGCAGGTGAGCTGCATCTGGATCAGTTTCCCACTCCTATCCTAGAGCACAACCATGGGAGAGGAGGTTAGGCCTGAATCCACTTGCCTTTATCCAGTGTGGTCTTCCCAGGTGTTTATATTACATGCCTCTGGAGTTATATACTAACCCAGGGGTAGGCAACCTTGGCTCTTTTGTGACTCGTGGACTTCAGCTCCCAGAATTCCTGAGCCAGCCATGCTGAGGAGAAAGGGAGCGGTTTCCAAGCTGAGCCATGCTGGCTCAGGAATTCTGGGAGTTGAAGTCCACGAGTCATAAAAGAACCAAGGTTGTTTACCCCTGTACTAACCCAGTGTTTCATAACCTCAGCAAGCTGGCTGGGGAATTCTGGGAGTTGAAGTCCATGCATCTTAACATTTCTAAGGTTGCTAACATTGTTCTATCCGGCCTTCCCTCCTTCTCCAGATGCTGCTGTGTGCCTCCAGTCAGAACAATAGCATTGTGGAATGCTGGTCACTCCGGAAAGAAGGACTGCCAGTTAACAACATTTTCCAGCAGATTTCCCCCACAGGTGAGTCAGGTAGCAGGTATAGAAAGAACTCAGGAGAAAATGGCTTCTTCTCATTTGGTTGAAGTCAACCTGGATTCCTGAATGGTCAGATCAGGGAGTTTGAAACCTGTAAACTGCAATTCTAGCCCAAGCAACGAGGAGGCAGGAAAAGCATAGGCAGAATCTTGGGATCAGGACAAAGTCTTCTGGGGATTGGCCCAAAGTCACCTGCTGTTTTCCTGTCTTAAGGTGGGACTACAACTCACAGTGTCCTGGGGATTGGCCCAAAGTCACCCAGCCATCTTTCATGCCTAAAGCAGGATTAGAACTCACAGTCTCCTAGGAATTGGCCCAAAGTCATCCAGACAGCTTTCATGCCTAAAGCGGAACTAGAACTCACAATCTCCTGGGAATTGGCCCAAAGTCCCTAGCTGTTTTTTATACCTAAGGCAGGATTAGAACTCACAGCCTCCTGGAGATTGGCCCAGAGTCACCCAGCTGGCTTTCATGCCTAAAGTGAAACTAGAATTCTGCTTCTCCCATATGAATAGCTTGTTTTTCATGGATGTGGTTGTGTTGCCAATGAAAAAAAATGCTCTTTTCTTTCCACCTTTCCTTCTATTTATCTCCCTCATCCCAGCACAGCAGGAGCAAATTTTCTAACTGAGAGCAATCAAACCCACAGATGATGTTTAATTGTTGTGTTTGCACAGGAAATCACCTGGCAACACATTCTCATCACAGCCATTTCCCTCTGGAAATGAGCTTCTTTTGATTCTTCCTCAGGCGAGAAGTCATTAAATTGGTACATCTTCACCTGACAAATTCAGAGCTGAATTTCTGCTCCTTTTGTTTAAAAACAATACATTTGATAACAGTTTGAAGAAGGCCTTAGTATAATTTTGAAAAAAAAAATCCTAGGCGACCTATGTGTAAAATACATAGATTTTTCAGACCATGCAATATTCCTTCAGCTGTGGTGTCTTAGGAATACAAGAAAACTGTAGTTTTATATGTGTATCTTACTTCAGTTTGCTTTTCTGACTGCAAAATTATTTATTTACCAAATTTATATGCCACTCATCTTGCCGTAGAAGGTGACATAATACAGTCTCTTCCAAAGCAGGCCTCTCCAGAAATTTCAGGATTACAATTCCCTGAATTCTGAGTAGCCAGCACACCCAAAGAATTCTCAGTATCCATGCTGCTCAGGATTCTGGGAATTGTAGTCCCAAACACATCTAGAAAGTTGCAGTAATCTGATCATGCTAAGCAGAAAGGAAGGAAGTTCCATTACCAAATGCTTTTTGCAGTACTTTAATTATCCTCTTCCTCTCATTTCTAAGTTGGGGACAAGCCGCCGATGATCTTGAAATGGCGGATCCTTTCAGCCACTAATGACCTGGACCGAGTTTCTGCTGTGGCATTACCCAAACTGCCAATTTCTTTGACCAGCACTGATTTGAAGGTAGCAAGTGACACCAAGTTCTACCCGGGTTTAGGTGAGGAAAAGTTTTTCTTGGATGTATAGTCTTACCAGATATGAAAAAAAACTAGAGCTGTGTTTGACGCAGTCGTTATAATGCAGTGTTGCAGAGCAATTCTGCTCACAGCCAGGAGTTTGATCCTGACGGGCTCAAGGTTAACTCAGCCTTCCATCCTTCTGAAGTCGGTGAAATGAGGACCCAAATTTTGGGGGGAAATATGCAGACTCTGTAAACTGCTCAGAGTACTTTAAAGCAGGGGTCCCAAACCCCTGGTCTACGGGCCATTCTGAATTGGGCCACAGAAGTGATGTGCGAGTGCACACGTGAAATCATCCCCTCTTTCCCCCCCCACCGCCGCCTCTGCCGGTCTGCCGAATCAGAAAGATTGGAGACCGCTGCTTTAAAGCACTATGGAGCAGTATATAAGTCTAAGTGCTCTTGCTATTGCTAGTGTGATCCCTTCTTGGAAAGTTCCAAGGTTCCCCCATGCCAGTTTCAAAGCTGGACCTCCAACTTCCTGTTCTGGGCCGCAGGGGAGTGACCAATGGAACTTCAAAACTAGGTCATAAGTATTCCCCCAGATAGCTCCATCCGAAATTCAAAAGGCCGCTAAGCGACCAGCCCTCAGTGGAGAACTACCTGTACACCGAACTGGCTCTCATAAGAAAATTATAAATGCCTAAAAATGGGCTATCAAGTCCTGGGAATCATAGCTGCAACTTTTTCTGATCCTAATTAGAACTTTATTTAGTTACGTACCATTTAGTAATTTGCCACTAAGTGGTGAGCAGAAGCGTCTCCCAACAGCGATGTTGGATTGGCTTGCTCGGGGATAAAACAATAGAATATTCCAGAAGGAATGCAGCCTGCTTCTCTTTGTAAAACATTTTAAAAATCCCTTCTTCTTTTTCTTTTTTTTTTTTTTGCTACCCACCTCTGCTCCAGGCCTGGCGCTTGCTTTCCATGATGGCAGCGTCCACATCATCAACCGCCTCTCCTTGCAAACCATGGCAGTGTTTTACGGCTCAACCTCTCAGCGCCCGGTGGATGAGCAGACCATCAAACGCCAGAGAGCTTCTGGCCCCATGGTCTACTTCAAAGCTATGCAGATGTCTTGGACGTCACTGGCCTTAGTTGGGATTGATAGCCATGGAAAGGTACGTTTGGGGGTACAGAGTAAGATCCCCTCAGCATTTAAAACAGGGAGGCCAAGAAAGATTCTTACAGGTACTCCTCAAATTATAACCATTTGTTTGAGGACCATTCCAAATTACAATGGCCATGAAAACAGTGACTTATGACCAGTTTTCACACCACCATTGTAGTCAAAATGCAACTGGCAACTGGCATGTATTTATGACAATTGCATTGACCTGGGGTTGTCTGATCACCAGCCAACACAGTGCTGGGCTGCATTAACAGAGGGATAGAATCAAGATCACGTGAAGTATTAATACCACTTTACAATGCCTTGGTAAGACCACACTTGGAATACTGCATCCAGTTTTGGTCACCACAATGTAAAAAGATGTTGAGACTCTAGAAAGAGTACAGAGAAGGGCAACAAAGATGATTAGGGGACTGGAGGCTAAAGCATATAAGGAACGGTTGCTGGAATTGGGTATGCCTTTAATGAAAAGAAGGACTAGGGCTGACATGATAGCAGTGTTCCAATATCTCAGGGGCTGCCACAAAGAAGAGGGAGCCAAGCTATTTTCCAAAGCGCCTGAAGGCAGGACAAGAAACAACTGATGGAAACTAATCAAGGAGAGAAGCAAGCTAGAACTAAGGAGAAACTTCCTGACAGTTAGAACAATTAACTAGTGGAACAACCTGCCTCCAGAAGTGGTGAATGCTCCAACACTGGAAATTTTTAAGAAGAGACTGGACAGCCATTTGTCCGAAATGATATAGGGCAGTGGTGGCGAACCTATGGCACGGGTGCCAGAGGCGGCACTCAGAGCCCTCTCTGTGGGCATGTGCACCGTCGCCCCAGTCCTAGGCCTTCAGCTGGGTTTTATAAAACCTTTTCGCTTTAGGCCTCCGCTGCCGTGTGCAAAAAAAAAAGGTTCAATCAATCAGTCAATTTCAACTTCTCGCAGGGAAAAAAAAGATCTTGCAAAGTTGGAATTGATTGATTGAACTTTTTAGTCCCACTCAGTCTGCCGTTACCACCGCAGCCACGCCCACCCAATGGGCCACGCCCAGCCAATGGGCCACACCCAGCCAATGGGCCACACCCAGCCAATGGGCCACACCCAGCCGGCACCCGACGATGCATAAGTGGGTTTTGGGTTGCAGTTTGGGCACTCAGTCTTTAAAAGATTTGCCATCACTGGTATAGGGTTTCCTGCCTGAGCAGGGGGTTGGACTCGATGACCTTTAAATTATTGGCTATCCCTACAGCTTGTTGCAGGGAATTCCATAAATAAGTCCAAAGTTTTGTAAAGGAAGTGCCCCTTTGTTGTGCATTTAATTGGAAATTCTTTCATTTTCTCTGAGACCAACCTGGGCAAATCAAAGAATTATTGCCAAACCTGGGAGGCCAGATAGCTCAAAACAAATGAATCAAGCTTCACAATCGGGCAAGCAATGCTGGCAGCTCCCTGATTCAAACAAGAGCAGAATCCTGGAATGATATATATATATATATGACCAGGGACCCCATCCCCTGCCCCCCCCCTGGAAGATGGAGGTAATTGACTTCCTGGCTGCATCCGACGTATCATTTCTGTCCCCTTGCTCTCTGCAGCTTAGCATGTTCAGGATCTCTCCCTCCATGGGTCATGTTCTGGATATGAATATTTCTCTCCGTCACTTGCTTTTCCTGTTGGAGTACTGCATGGTGACAGGGTATGACTGGTGGGACATCCTGCTTCACGTCCAGCCCGGCATGGTGCAGAATCTGGTGGAAAAGCTGCATGAGGAATACATGCGCCAAAATGCCGCCCTGCAGCAAGTGAGTTCCCATCTTTGAAACATATATTCAATTTTGCAGCTGCTAAGATTGTTGGCCGAGCAGGCACAAAAATAGCCAGGGAAATTATTGAAGCCTGGGAATTGGGCCCTTTGTCAGTCAATAGGAGTGCTGATTTACCACCAGCTTATCAGGTACTTAGGAGCCGAGGGGCTTGGAAACACAAGGAAACAACAGCCAATCGCTGTTCCTCAACACACCAATCAACCAATAGGAAGGCACTCACATAAATTCACAGAATAGCCCAAAGCACGTATTCCAGTATTCCCTCAGGATGGGTTCCAGCACGAATCCGAATGCTTGGAAGATTAAACCTCTGGTCCCAATGACTGACTTACTGTAGATCCTGGGATATGTATATTTACCTTCATTCGCGGGTTCCCATCTTGATTCCCACCTGGGATTCCGCTTGAAAGTAAGTCAACCTTCCCTTCTCCTCCCGTGGTCATATGACCACATTTCGGATACTTGGCAACCGGCTCGCATTTACAACCAGTGTCCTGTGGTCGCGTGACCACAAGTTGCTGCTGTTTTTGCCATTCTTTCTTCAGGAAGATGGACTTGCTTAATGACCGCATTATTCACTTAATGACTATGTGATTCGGACTTACAGCGTCACGATTGGCCTAATGACTGCTGTAAAAATGGTCGCTCACAATCAAGTGCCTCGACTTAACCACCGCAGCAACTTAACGACTGAAATTCCATTTGGATATGGAATTTGTAGTCATAAGTCGAGGACTATCTGTACAGGGCTTTTTAGGTATTAACTGAATTGTACCTGGAAGCTGATTGGGGGGAGAGGAGGGCAGTGCAGCTCACAGAGTAGTGGGGTTACCTGGGCATATAATGGTGCCTGGGCTCAGTCTGTTGTGTGTTTAAACCATGGTTTCATTAGGGTTAAATCGTGGTTAGCCAATTGCATTTGGAGTAAACATTTTTGGGATCAGGGAGACGTGAACTGCTAGAACAGTGGTTCTCAACCTGTGGGTCGGGACCCCATTTGGGGTCGATCGACCATTTCATGGGGGTCGCCAAGCAAGGCTGTCCACTATTTTTTTTGTCCGCCATTTTTTTTGTCCGCCATTTTTTTCCCCTTTTCCAGCGGGTGCCTTACCTCCCTTGGGCTGGGCCAGCTGGTGGTCGGCCTGCTCCGTCTCTGCCGCTTGCCAGCTACGCCTCGGCCGGCGCAGGGGGCGGAACCACGCATGCACGGCGCTCCCGGGCAGGGAAAGTCCTCGACTTATGACCGGTTGGGTAGTCCTCGACTTACAACCGGTTTAGTCCTCGACTTATGACTGGTTTAGTCCTCGACTTACGACCGGTTGGGGTCGCGGTTGAGAACCACTGTGCTAGAAGTTAATCAGTGTCATTTATTTGTTGACTTTAATGTGTGGACCTCCTTGCTGAAAGGAGCAGCGTTCTCAGGGGTGATCAGGTCCCTCCTTTGACAGGTCCTCTCCACGCGCATCATTGCCATGAAAGCCTCACTTTGCAAGCTCTCCTCCAGTACGGTGGCCAGAGTTTGCGACTATCATGCTAAGCTTTTCCTGATCGCCATCAGCTGCACCCTGAAATCCCTGCTCCGGCCCCCAGTCCTCAACACGCCCGACAAGACTCCTGGGGACAGGCTTACTGAGATCTGTGCCAAGATCACCGATATAGGTATGTTCAAAGGGGCTGATCCTCTCTCGGTCTGCTAGATTTTCCAAAGGAGAGAGGGGGAAAAAAGCTCTCTTTTCTATTTTCAAAGTTGTCCATGTAGGGTGGAAGAATCAAAATGTCCAAATGGTGGCCAAGCTCCATGATTGAAGCCTTCTCTGTTAATTGATGGGCATCAACGCACACCAAAAGGGCAGCGCTTCAATTGCATTGCCATAGCCACCATTTTGACTTTTTTTTTTTTTAACCCTCAGGTAGACCAGTGTTTTGCAACCTTGGCAACTTTAAGATATACAGACTTCAACTTGTAGAATTCCCCAGCCAGCATAGCAGACTGGGGAATTCTGGGAGTTGAAGTCTACATATCTTAAAGTTGATAAGGTTGGAAAACATTGCTGTAGTAGACATTCCTTCTCTCTCTCTCTGTCTCTCTGTCTCTCTCTCTCTCTCTCTCTCTGTCTCTCTCTCTCTCTCTCTGTCTCTGTCTCTCTCTCTCTCTCTCTCTCTCTCTGTCCTCTCTCTCCTTCCCTCCCTCCCTCCCTCCATGCTATAGTCCTACTTGAAGGATAATTTCATAATTAAAGGTGATATTTCTGACAATTTCATAATTAAAGGTGATATTTCTCTCTCTCTCTTTCCTTCCCTCCCTCCCTCCCTCCATGCTATAGTCCTAGTAGAAGGACAATTTCATAATTAAAGGTGATATTTCTGACAATTTCATAATTAAAGGTGATATTTCTCTCTCTCTCTTTCCTTCCCTCCCTCCCTCCCTCCATGCTATAGTCCTAGTAGAAGGACAATTTCATAATTAAAGGTGATATTTCTGATATTCTCATCTGATAATGTCATTGCTTTGCTTTCCTCTCTGAATTTTGCCATTCCTAATTATTTGATTTGCAAAACTGACCTTCTAGTATTCTATATTGGTATCTTTGTAAAATGGTTTATAGTAGTATCAGTACAATAGAGCAAAAAAATTCTTCTTATCCTCTCATTTTATCAATTCGTCTGTGCCTGTGGGTATCCAAGAGTAAAGAAAAACTAGAAGTTAGTCAACTTGAAGGAACTAACAAATTGTGGCCAACTGTTCACCCACACAATTCTCAAGAAAAAAAATTAAAAGAAATGACTAATGAATTGGGTCCAAATTGTTCATTCATAATAGATCTGATGAAACATGCTGCTTTAGGAATGTCTCCAATTTTTTAAATATAAGCTTTTATATACAAGTAGTCCTTAACTCACAATAGCTCATTTGGTAACCATTTGAAGTTACAATGGTGCTGAAAAAAAGTGATTTATGACCGTCTTATACATTTACGACTGTTGAAGCATCCCCATGGTCACATGATCAAAATTCAGACGCTTGGTAACCCACTCAAATTTACGACGGTTGCAGTATCCTGATCACCTTTTGTGATCTTCTGACCAGCAAAGTCAATGGAGAAGTCTGATTCACTGAAAAACAGTGTTACTAACTTAACAACTCTAGTGATTCACTTAACAACTGTGACAAGAAAGGTCATAAAATGGGGCAAAACTCACTTAAAAATTGTCTCGCTTAGCAATAGAAATTTTGTGTTGTGGTTGTAAGTTGAGAACTACCTGTATATGGTATATAAGGAATATATTTTTATACAAGGGACATGTTTTTCCCCGTCAAATATAGGCATGTTGTAAAATAAAACTGCACTTTGTGTATAGGTAGTCCTCATTTAGCAACCATAATTTTGACCGGCATCTTAGTCATTAAATGAAGCAATCACTAATTGAAACCACGACTGTGCTATAATCTTATTTCAACTTTCCTTTGCTTTACGGACCTGCTAAGGTTGTAAATGTGAGGATTGGTCACAAAGCTTTTTCACCACCATCATAACTGCAAACAGTCACTGAGCGAGGACTACTTGTATTGGGAGAATTCTGGGAGTTGAAGTCCAGACATCTTCAAACTGCCAAGATTAAGAAGCACCGCAGTTCATTGTCCTTGAAAGATGATTGTCCAGCCTCCATTTGAAACCCTCCAATAAAAGGGAAGAAACCATTCTCTGTGGTGACCTGATCCACTGAATGACAGTTCTTCCTAATGTATAATAATACTAATACTAATAATACTAATACTAATACTAATAATAAAGTTGGAAGGGACCTTGGAGGTCATCTAGTCCAACCCCCTGCTCAGGCAGGAAACCCTATACCATTTCAGACAAATGGCTGTCCAGTCTCTTCTTAAAAACTTCCAGCGTTGGAGCATTCACCACTTCTGGAGGCAGGTTGTTCCACTGGTTAATTGTTCTAACTGTCAGGAAGTTTCTCCTTAGTTCTAGGTTGCTTCTCTCCTTGATTAGTTTCCATCCGTTGCTTCTTGTCCTGCCTTCAGGCGCCTTGGAAAATAGCTTGACTCCCTCTTCTTTGTGGCAGCCCCTGAGATATTGGAATACTGGAATCTCTATCTATCTCCTTGAAGTTTCCTCCTATTGATCCTTCCAGATATCGACAAAGTGATGATTAATTTGAAGACAGAAGAATTTGTGCTGGAGATGACCACCTTGCAATCTCTCCAACAATTGATCCAGTGGGTTGGAGACTTTGTACTCTATTTGCTCGCCTGTCTCCCGAACCAGGTGAGACTCAGATGACCCATTTATTTATTTATTTATTTATTTTATTTGATTTATATCCCGCCCTTCTCCCAACGGGACTCAGGGCGGCTCACAACATATTAAAAAACATAAACACATTTACAACCCCACTCAAGTAAAACCAATTAAAACCGAATATTTAAAGCTGTGCTATTTAAAATTACTCTTAAGATAAACCCGATTTAAAATCCTCCCTAGGCCAGGCCCGCTTGCTGAAAAAGCCATGTCTTGAGGGCGCGGCGGAAAGTAAGGAGATCCGGAATCGTCCGGATCTCGGGGGGTAGTTCGTTCCAGAGGGTGGGGGCACCCACNGGAGCGTACCGGTCTATGGGAGGGAATCTGTGGCAGAAGGCGGTCTCGGAGATAACCAGGTCCGATGCCATGGAGCGCTTTAAAGGTGGTAACTAACACCTTAAAGTGCACCCGGAAGGCCACTGGCAACCAGTGCAGCTCGCGCAGCAGCGGTGTTACATGGGAGCGACGAGTCCCTCCCAACACCGCCCGCGCGGCCACATTCTGGACCAGTTGAAGCCTCCGGGTGCTCCTCAAAGGGAGCCCCATGTAGAGAGCGTTACAATAGTCCAGGCGGGAGGTGACGAGAGCATGAGTGACTGTGCGCAAGGCGTCCCGGTCCAGAAAAGGTCGCAACTGGTGAATCAGTTGCGACCTTTGTATGGAATTGATATTTCTTAAATGGATGAATAATCATATTTCACCTATTGGCAGCAATTCCAATTTGGACCAGTTGATAGAATATCCTATTTTACTAAAGGCATCTATCATTTGCATCAACAGTAGAAAAGTAATGGAAGATATAAAAATAAGCAGAAGAATGTCATCTGCAAATAAAACCAGTCTATGTCCATCTGAATTAGGTGCTACTCTATAAATTGCCCTATGTTGTCTAAGAGTTCCATAAGCCAAGAGTTCCACACAAATATAAAAAAAACAAAGGTGAGACTGGATATCCTTAGCTAGTTCCTTTAAGTAATGGCAAGGCAGCAGAAAACAAGCCATTAACCTTTCTTTGGATGTGAGAAATTCATATAACGTTTTGCTCCATTTTATGAATTTCAAGAGAAATCCAAATCTGTTTTATACATCAAACATATAATGTCTATATATTTGGTCATTATTTTTATTCAACTCTATAACTACACCTACTATTCTACAATTAACCCAATTAACCCAATATTGTCTGCTGTTTGCCTAGTTTAATAAACCCTGCTTGATCATTCAAAATAAGGAACGGTAACACTTCTGTTATCTATTTGCTAGCACTGCTGTTAAGAGCTTTGTGTCGACATAATCAATGAGATTAGATGATAATGAGCACATTGGGTATGATCTTTATCTGATTTTGGCATTGTTGTAATATAAACTTGATTAAATGCCTCTGATAATATTCCCTTATCAAGTATTTCATCATACAATTGACAAGTTTTAGCATCAAAAAAATCCATAAACGTTTTATACCATCTTATAGAGAATCCATCCAAAACCACTGCACCTTCACTTAACCATATCTGAACTTAGGCTAACAGAATCCTATTTTGTTCAGTTTTACAAAGTTATGATAGACAGAGTCCTGACCCACTGTATATAATTTTGTTCCAACGTTTTTATTGAGTTGGAAATAATTACAAAAAGGGCACAGGTTTTTGACCTCTCCACATTGCAGAATCTCAGGAGAAAACAAGAGATGCTTGTGGGTTACAGTTTTTGCATTCTTCCTAGAGATAATAGAAATGCTACTACTATTATTACTATTTAGTTGGACTTGCCACTTATTCAGTTTAGCTCCTCCCCTCCTAAGCTACTGAGCATTGACCTTTTGGCATAATCAACATATAGGATCATTTTAATGATACAAAAGGAAGAATAAGGGATACCTAAGGAAGCCAGCTAATAGCTGCTATTTCATCAAAGATTTTACACAATTTTCTGTTCTTCAACAGAACAATGCCCCCCCCCATATGTCTCTCTTTCTGTATGTATGTATGTGTATGTGTGTAGGTTTCCTTTTCCCTCCCATTGAAAAGAGAACCTGAGAAAGGATTCTTAATTTCCAAAGATATCCTTGAAAAAAATACAATTGTCAGCTCATAATGGGAGTTTTATTTTTATGTATCTTGAATAGTATCATTATATATCTTCAGGATAGTACCAACTTTTGAATGACTTGACAGTATAGATGTTGCTTCCTAGGGCCTGTTGAAATGTTGGGGTGAAATGATAGCAGTGTTCCAATATCTAAGGGGCTGCCAAAAAGAAGAGGGAGTCAACCTATTCTCCAAAGCACATGAAGATAGGACAAGAAGCAACGGATGGAAACTATTCAAGGATAGAAACAACCTACAACTAAGGAGATATTTCCTGACAGTTAGAACAATTAATCAGTGGAACAACTTGCCTTCAGAACTTGGAGGCTTTTAAGAAGTGATTGGACAACTACTTATCTGAAATAATATAGGATTTTCTGCCTGAGCAGAGGGTTGGACTAGAAGACCTCCAAGGCCCCTTCCAACTCTGTTATTATGTTATTCTATTATCCTCTGCCCCAAAGGTATAGGTTATCTTGGGTTCTCCTGGACTTGTTCCAGGAGAATGTACCCATCCCCTGCACACTTGTCTTTGAGCATTCAGGGCCTGAGAGATCAAGGGGGCAGAGCTTATAATATGGCTTTCTCAGTAGTCACCCTTTCACTCTGGTCCTTTTGTCATTCGTAAAGAAGTATCTTTATTAAGAAACTTTTAGCTGACCTTTCTTTCTTCCTTATCTTCTTGGATTTCTTAGGTGCATTTATCTTCTTAATATGATAGCTCTCTTCATTTTGTTTTTAAGATTATCTTGTGCTCCACCTCAGAGGTGTCTGCGATTTCCAATAAATGCTGCTTTGTGTGGGTGGAGAGAGAGAGAGAGAGAGAGAGAGAGAGAGAGAGAGAGAGAGAGAGAGNGGAGACCGGGCGATAATTGGCCAACTCATCTGGGTCCAGGGAAGGCTTCTTGAGGAGGGGCCTCACGACGGCCTCCTTAAGGGCCGCAGGGAAGACACCCTCCTGCAAAGAAGCGTTAATAATTCCCTGGAGCCAGGCTCGTGTACCCTCCCGAGCTGCCAGTACCAGCCAGGAGGGACACGGATCTAACAAACATGTGATGCTGTTGGCTTAATGGAGGGTAAACTTTTGTATCAAATTCACTAATATTGACGGTTACCAACTGTTTGTTTAAAGTGAGGCATTCTCTTGTCCTTTACATACAGAGAAAGGAATGCCTCTTCTCCGCGGCCCATCTCTTTTCAGTTGCCACATATAGTATAAAGACTGTAGCTACGGTGTTGATCACACATTATTTTTGAACCAGGAATCTTGACCTAATAATAATGGTGTATAATAATAAATGGTGCCTCTTTGTTTTACCCTGCATCCAAACAAATCAGGAAGAAATTATTATATATGGGTTTATGGTTTATTGGAGCAAAATGGCTAGACTGGTGCTTTTTCCACCTCGGCAACTTTAAAGATATGTGGATTTCAGCTGGCAGAATTCCCCAGCCAGCATAGGTCATGGGAGTTGAAGTCTGCATACCTAAAAGTTGCCAAGTTTGAAAAACAAGAATTATAAGCCAGTTTTTAACAAGAAGGTTGTTTTTGATTGTTTATTTTTTTGCCCGGAAAGTGCTTACAGAGGTTCTTGCAGATTTCAGAAGTAGTTTGCCATAGCCTCTTTCTTATGGCTGAGAGAGGATGAGAAGTTTACTCAGCTAACTTCATGCTTAAGACAGGACTGCAATTCCCAATCTCCCAGTCTCTGCACTGATGCCTTAACCATTACATCAAAGTGACTTAGTTTATGCAGTGTATTTAATGATTCGTGTGGATCCAGCAGTTATGCATCCTTTCTTGTTTGTTTATCCTACAAAATAAACAGAGTGCATGTACTGGTATACTACCCCATTTAGAACCCAGCTAATTAAACCGGGATTCCTAGCTATAAGTGGTGTACCCAGTGCAAGTGCCATCGCTTTCTGTTGAATATTTTATTTCTTATTTTTATTTATGCAGATGCGCTTCGCTTACTGAATCAGTTAAAACCGCCTTATTTCATTAGCTGAGATTTCTAAAACTGAAGCAATCCTAGCTATTGAACCCTAGTGTCTTTAACCAAAGAAAGTGAGACGGGCCCGTCCCAGAGAACCACTGTTGGTTAAGATAGACAGTTTGGGTAGCCTTCAACCCTTTATCCCCAATTCTGCCTGGATGATTATGAGTAACCTCATTAGAAATAATGGGTTCGCTCTGGAAATCAAAAGCAGAGGCAGAATTTCCAAAGATGGGCAGACAGGGACATTTAAGGATATTTAATCCATAATGCAAATTTTGCTATGGAGCAAACATGTCAAACACAAGGCCCGGGGGCCGGATGCGGCCCGCGAAGTGGTTTCATGTGGCCCACGACGCCATCCTGGAAACAGTGAGGGAACAATCCCCACTGCCTTGGCCCTGGTCCAGGCCGGCCGGGAGGGAGCCAATGTACAATTTTGTGGTGACCATCTATGCTGAAGTGCATTCAGTCTTAGCTCCACAAGGCCGTCTGGAAACAGCGAGGAACCAGCCCCTGCCGCGTTGGCCCCACCCCCTGGGTGCATGCTGGGGAGGTGTCACCCTTTGTGAGGAATGAAGAAATGCACCATCGCCTGGAAGTGGCCAGCAAACAGCCCTCACCTACTTCACATATCTGGCTTGATGGGCACTGCCCTGGTCCCACCCCCTTCTGCCAGAGACCCTCAGATCTGTCCCACTCCTGCCCAGGCCCCTACAGGCACCCTTGACGCGAATGATGTAGAGCTGACCACGCCCACCCAGTAGGCCACACCCACTCCATCCACGCCCACCCAGTAGGCCGCACCCACCCTGGCCACATACCCCCGAGGGCAACTGCAATGCTGATGTGGTCCTCAATGAAATTGAGTTTGACACCCCTGCTATGGGGTCATTGTCAGATTTGGTGTAGGGTCACTGCTGTAGGGTAATTCAAGTTCCTTGTAAGGACCCACTTCAACTAACCGCCCAAGAAAGCAGAACTCTTGAAACGCATTGTCTCAAAAGGATACTTCTATAAGGGGTCAGTGACAATAGGGAAGTCAAGGCGAGATTTGGGGAAAAACCCGCCGAAACGCTGTAGTTCAGCAAGCAATATTCCTCCTCCCACCAAAATCATAATGTCCATTTGAAATCCAGCCAATCCACAGGTGGTCTGAAGAGCGGGTAACTGGCACAGCTGGTGCGCATCTCAAGGTCTTCTCCAGTTCCATTTCTTTGTAAGCCTCTCCCTGATAAGGGAGACACATTCCTTTCTCAAGGGGATGGAGACAGCAAGAGAGAGTAGAAAGCGAAAGTTATCCCAAGCTAATGCAAAGTGTTGGAGAAGACTCCTGCGAGTCCCCTGGACAGCAAGGAGATCAAACCGGTCAGTCCTAGAGGAGATCAACCCTGACTGCTCTTTAGAAGGCCAGATCCTGAAGTTGAAACTCAAGTACTTTGGCCACCTAATGAGAAGGAAGGACTCACTGGAGAAGAGCCTCATGCTGGGAAAGATGGAGGGCAACAGAAGAAGGGGACGACAGAGAATGAGGTGGCTGGATGGAGTCACTGAAGCAGTAGGAGTGAGCTTAAATGGACTCCAGAAGATGGTAGAGGACAGGAAGGCCTGGAGGAACGTGGTCCATGGGGTCGCGATGGGTCGGACACGACTTCGCAATTAACAACAACAATGCAAAGCTTCCCCTCCCCCAATAAAATGGCAGGCCCCATAAGTAGAATGCAAGGTAAAGGCTAAGGGTTTCGGGACCTGACACTCCTAATCAATTTGAACATTTCTTTTGTTCTATCTACCAATACGTCTACCGATACCGTTAATTGTAGCATTGTGTGCATCATTTCAGCTTTCGACTACCTTCAGTTTCCTTTTTCTGCCCTTAGGGTTCTGGACCAGCATCAGGACCTGTTCGTCCAGGTCACAGTTTCCTCCGGGACGGGGCCTCCCTAGGCATGCTCCGTGAGCTGATGGTCATGATCCGAATCTGGGGCCTCTTGAAACCAAGCTGTCTTCCCATTTATACAGCCACATCTGATACACAGGACAGCATGTCCCTTCTCTTCCGACTTCTTACCAAATTGTGGTTATGCTGTGAGTGATCTGATGTGCTGCCAAAATAGGGGGAGGTGTGGCTTGAAGGTCTGGAGCACAAAGAAATGCTGTGCAGAACATGCCAAGTGTGATTCCTAGCTCAGGAGGGCCATTTGAGCATTTTGAGCGCACAACAAAAAACTTCCAAGCTTGGCCAGAATGGTTTTGATCCAGATTGTTTCAATATTGTTTTATGAGACAAGCTCATTTTTTCACTTTAAGATGATCAAGAAGGAGGCGAGATAGTCCTGTCTTATGGGTAAGCTACTTGTGGCCCAGACTTGAGAGAAAAATTAGCCAAAGAGATTCTTTTCTTTGAAATGGATTTTTTAAAAAAACATTCCCATAAAATAATGGAAGTTACAGTGAAACAGGTTTTTGCTGCCTGTCTACACAATCTTTTTTTTTTTAAATAGAAATCCCCTTCATAGTTTATCTAGAAATGATTCCTAGGTGAAAATAGATATTTGTGATTCAATACACATAAATTCTGGGAGTCCACACCTCTTAAAACGACCAAGGTCAAAAAAACATGATCTAAAGCAGGGGTCTTCAAACTTGACCCTTTAATGACTTGTGGACTTCAACTCCCAGAATTCCTCAGCTAGGCACGCTGGCCGAGGAATTCTGGGAGTTGAAGTCCACGAGTCATTAAAGGGCCAAGTTTGAAGACTCTTGATCTAAAGCCTTTTCTCTTGGGGCAGGTCGTGACGAAGGGCATCCCAGCGAGCCGGACGATACCTTGATCGACGAATGCTGCCTCCTACCCAGCCAGCTCCTCATCCCAAACATGGATTGGCTTCCGGTGAACGATGCCATCATCAGCAAGCTGCAGAATAAGCAGCCTGTCCGGCTGCAGTTTGGAAAGCCTCCTGGGATCGTTGGACACTCCACTTCGGTTCCGTGCGATGCATTTACCAGGTGCATCGAGAGGGCAGCCTGGTTTTTCTCTTGACACGACAGGGAAGCTCCTTGGCATGCTGGAAGGATGGTCCTTTATGTATTTTACTCTCGCTTAATGCTTTTACAGTACTCGCTGAAAGATCAGCTCACTTTGACACAGTGTTTTTTCAACTTGACCGCTTTAAGACATGTGGACTTCAACTCCCAGAATTCCTCAGCCAGCATAGCTGGTTGGAGAATTCTGGGAGTTGAACTCCATACATTTTAAAGTGACCAAGTTCAAAAAGCACCGTTTTAATAGATCCAGTTAAAAACAAGCAGAAGGAAAAGAGATACTGAAATACAAGTTCCTTGACTTAGGGATGACTGGGGCCAAATTAGCCTCAATCTTAATTTTTACACAGCCCACATGAGCCTCAGCTCCATTTTGCAATTCCTAGGGCAGGGGTAGGCAACCCAAAACACTCAAAGAGCCACTTGGTCCCGTTTCCCACCGAAAACAAAATACTGGGAGCCGCAAAACCCTTTTGATATCTAAAATGAAGATAACACTGCATATATCCTTTTTTACCATATATATATATATATATATATAAGCTCAGGGGTAGGTAACCTCGGTTCTTTTATGACTCATGGACTTCAACTCCCAGAATTCCTGAGTCAGCATAGCTGGGCTAGCTAGCTCTCTCCTGTCCTTCCGGCTTCCTGCTTCCTGCAGAAACGCAGCAAAGGGAGGAGCCCCACCCAAAAAGCTTTTCAGCTTGTGGGAGAACACCGTGAGTCTACTCTCTTTTACACACACACACACACACACACACACACACCACAACACAACACAAACACAGAGAGACAGAGACAGAGACAGAGAGAGAAGCAGGGAAGCACAGGTGCCTCTCTCTGTCTCTGTCTCTGTCTCTCTCTGCAAATGGCAGAGGAGGCTGGGAGCCACAGGGGAAGGCTCAAAGAGCCGCATGCGGCCCCAGAGCCGCAGGTTGCCAACCTGTGTCCTAGGGAAAGCAAGTCACTGATTTTAGAGAAGTGTTGTTCCTTGACTATTTAAAAAATAAGCACCAAAATTGGGTGTATTAACTCTTTGCAATCTTCACTAACCCAACTGTGTTAGCTTTTAAAAAGCTGTTGCCCCCTCCTATCCTATATGGAAAAAGAGAGGCAGAGAAATCAGTCTCTTCCTCTTTTGATGGGCATCGTTGTGTTATCACCCTAAAAGATTGTCTCTCCCCATGGCCTTTGGCACTGTGCTATCTAACAAGTGTTTTCTTCATTCCCAGGACAACTGGGTACCCAAAGATTGACCACCTGCGGCGCCTCCATCTTGGAGCTTATCCTACTGAAGAATGCAAGTCCTGTACGAGGTTAGTATCCCAGGCTGAGGGAAGGAGAGTTCATCCTCCAAAGAATTTCTCTTAAATTTTGAACCTAATCCCCAACTGACTAAAGATAAGCAGATGTAGGGGAAGAACAGGCAGAGCTGTGTGTGTGTATATATGTGTGTGTGTATTTGTGTTGTGGAATTAAGTGAGCCACCAGCCTAGACTCCTTACGTTCCCACAAATGGTCTACATCCAAGCCCTCTTGAATTCCATTGATTCTTATCTAGTGCCAATTTAGTGACTAGATTCTTGTTGATAGGGTTAAGCAATAAATCTTAACTGCAACTTAACTATGGTGCTGATTCTTCCTGCCTTACAGCAGAGAGAAATTGCAGTTGTGGGTCAACGTTTGTAACGGGTGTAAACAGGTTTCTACACAGAGTTGAGATCAAAGCCCTAAAGATGGCCCTTTTCTTTATAAGTTGTGGAGGATATGCAGAAACCTGGTATAAGGTACAGGTAGTCCTTCACTTATGACCAAATGGAACCCCAAACTTCCATTGCTAAGCAAGACAACTGTTAAGTGGGTTGTGCTCCATTTTATGACCTTTTTGCCAGGTTTATTAACTGAATCTGGCTTCCCTCATTGACTTTGCTTGTCAGAAGCCAGCTAGGAAGGTTACAAATGGTAGTCACATGACCCCGGGACAGTGCAGCCATTATAAATACATGCCAGTTGTTAAGCGCCTGAATTTTGATCATGTGACCATAGGGGATGGTCACATGACCTAATACTCCTTTCCTCCTATTTTCCCACAGCCACAATCCTGTGAGGTGGGTTGGGCTGAGCCCAAGTGACTTTGGGTCAGGGGTCTTCAAACTTGGCCCTTTTATGACTTGTGGACCTCAACTCCCAGAATTCCTCAGCCAGGGTGCCTGGCTGAGGAATTCTGGGAGTTGAAGTCCACAAGTCATTAAAGGGTCAAGTTTGAAGACCCCTGACCCAAAGTCACTTGGGCTTATGCAAGGGACCTTGTAAAAAAAAAATTAACACATTTTTTGAGGAGACCATTTTTTTGCTCCACGCTTTTGGGGAAGTTTCTCAGCAGGGTGCCATTTTGTCCCCTCTTTAGGTGCGGCTGTGTTACGATGCTCCGTTCCCCAAATAAGACCACGGCTGTGAAGCAGTGGGAGCAGCGATGGATCAAAAATTGCCTGTGTGGTGGCTTGTGGAGGAGAATGCCCCTCAGCTACTCATGATGGACCCCAGGACTCTTTGCCTTCTCCAGATGGAATGCATGAGGAATGGACCACCTTTCCGTGGAGTTTTGCAGCTTACTCCATTTTTAAAAAAACGTCCTGAAGGAAAACAGCCAATATAAGAAACTCAGGAAGAGCTGTGGGTGGTTTTATCCCCATGGAGGAGCAGACTTTCCTAGGCCAAAGCACCAGAGAAATCAATGGGAGATGCTGGAGGAATTTGAATTGATTGACACTTGTAGTATTAAGTGGAACTTGGCCAGTGCCAAAAGTTGCACTGATCTCCCCTATTTTGCATCACAGTCTTTTCCTCTTATTACAAATAGCGGCTTTTGGTTCAACATTCAGGAAGGGTTAAAATGCTGCATTAAAAAAACACATTTTTAGCATTGTTCAAAGTGCAGAAAAGTAGACAATTGTAGGAAAGAGAAGGATTTTTCTTGATGTACAAATTTGCTTCGCACAGAGAATTGAGGGGAAGGGTTTGTGGGGGACATTCTAACAGCCTTCTGGGAGTTGAAGTCCACAAGTCTTAAAGTTGCCAAGGTTGAGGACCCCTGAACTATAACATTCTCCCCTGTTTTTCTATCTGTATGCTCTTGCCTCAAAATTCCCAGTATCTAGGAAGCTAATGTGTTGGGAAACCGAGGTCAAACCAGTTCCATCCTTCTTACTTCTGCCTGCTGTCTGAAATAATCTAGTCTAAAATCCTTCCATTTCAGGAAGATTTGGTTCTTATCTCACCATACAGCTGGTATGTCTGCTTTGGAACTTCTAAGCTCTACATACTTCAGAGACCATTCCTGTGGAAAAATATGTGGTGATATAAGGATTTGAAAAACACAGCTCTCATCTTGTATTTTTTTAAAAAATTTCCTGGGATACGAGACTGTGATCCCTCTGTGCAAATCTAGGGGGGAAAGGAGCCGATGACTTTCTTTGTGCCCAATAATTCTGTGTTTTCTCAGAAAGTGAAGGCAGAGAAGAAGATATAAAAGTATTCATGGATAAGTGATGATTTTATAAATATTGTAACAGGATCTGAGTTTGTACAGATTATAATTATAGAGTTTTGTATGCTTTGTAAATGGAGAACTTTTTTTTGTTCTTTGTTTTTCTCATGAAGTATTTCCCTCCCTCTCTGAACTTTAAAAAAAAAAAAAAAAAAAAACCACCCTTAAAATGAACAGCCTCTCTCCTTCCCTCTCAAACACAGCTTGGAACAGTTTTTAAATGCGTTCTGTTTTGAAGTTTGCTTTGTCATTCTATTTTCAGGAAACCGTGATGGAAAAAAATGGGGAAGGAGGGGTGAAAGCAGTTAGAAATAAACCAGGACCAGCCATTCTTGATTGATTTTTGTTTTTGCAGCGATCAGCCAGTTAATACAGGTAGTCCTTGACTTAACAAACATTCGTTTAGTGACTGAAGTTGCAGTGGCACTGAATAAAGTGATGTACAGCAGTCTTCGCACTTAGGGCCATCGCAGCATCTCCACAGTCATGTGATCAAAATTCAGACGCTTGGCAACCGGCATGTATCTAAAACGGTTGCATTTTGAAATCCATTGTCAAAAATGTGGATCTTTTCTAAATGCTTTCTTCTGTTTCTCCTCAATAGTTCTTTAGCTCTATTGTGTTCTAGGTTACAGGGAAATTTTTTCAAGTCACATCACTTGAAAATAACATTTTAAAACATGTTCTTAGTAATATGCATTCACATAAGGACATAGCACGTAAGCGTTGCTTGAGCAGGTCCACAAGATTGTCTGGGACGCTACTCAGCCTCTTCACGAACTGTTTTCCTTGTTACCTTCTGGGAGGAGGGGGCTCCGTGGTATCCGAAGCAGAACATCCAGATTCAGTCACAATTTTGTTCCATACAGCATCAACCTTATGAACTCTCAAGCTTCGTCTTTCCACTATGTATTCAAGATGGACAGCGGTTAATATATATTATGTATATATGTATAGGTGTAGGTCAGGAGTGTCAAACTCGATTTCATTAAGGGACGCATGAGCATTTTGGTTGCCCTTGGAGGGGGGGACGGGGCTGTGTGGCTGACTGAGTGGGCGTGGCCAGCTCGACATCCTGTTGGAATGCACCTGTAGGGGGCTGTGGGGGGATCCAGAAGTCTTCAGCGGAGGGGGACGGGACCGGGGTAAGCAACAGAGCATTGCCATCCCTCTTGGGCTGTGCAGGGGTCTCCGGATGGCAGCAAAGGGTCCTGGGTGGTGGGCAGCAGGTGCCGTGCCCAGCCTTCAAGCTCTTGGTGCACCAGAACCCCACAACCTGACCCCACTTCCTGGGGGATGCCTGGGCTGCGCGTGGGCGGAACAGGGATGGGGGGGGCTTCTCCCTTCCCTTTTGCCAAGGCCGTTGGTGTGGCGGCGGGCAGGAGGCCTGGCACATCTGCTTGGCACATCTGGCAGGCCAGATCGCATGCCTCCCCCCCGCCTCTGCCTGCCGCTTAGAAGGCCAGGCCGGCGGCCACAGCACTCAGACCCACTGTCTGTCTTTGCCCACAGCCACCACGGCTGGGCAGGGCAAGCGGCTGGCTGGCTGGCTGCCCGGCACATCCGGATCCCATGCCTTCCCCCTATGCCTCTGACTGCTGCTTGGTGGCCAGACCTGGCGGCTGCAGCATTCAAACCCACCTGCGCTTCACGGGCTGCAGATCCCAGGGTGCGCCAGCTGATGGGCAGCCGGAGGGCTGCGGCTGCTGCCGGTCACCGCTGGCCCCTGTGCACTCGCCGCCTCGCGTGAACGTTCCTGTGGGGGCGCCTGGCTGGGCTGGGGTGAGCCGGGGCCACGGCTGGGGTGGCGGGTACCAGTCCCTCACCATCTCCGGGGCAGCCCTGCAAGCTGGAACTGGGCCCATCACAGGCCATGTGTTTGACATGTCTGGTGTAGATATATATGTATGTGTTTGTGTATTGCATATGTGTGTTATGTATGTGTATGGTTAGATATTTACTTTCCTTTGAGAGCGGGCAACAAAATTTCATTTTTAATAAATCTTATCTCATCTCATCTCATTTATCTTAACTTTCATCATCTTATCATCTTATGATGAATAAATAGCAATCCCGAGTCTAAGATTCTATAGCACCCATGAATACACTCTTCCATCCCTCCCTTCCAAGACAACATCTTTTATGACTCGTGTGAGCCAGCTTAGCTTAGGAATTCTGGGAGTTGAAGTCCACAAGTCATAAAAGAGCCAAGGTTGCCTACCCCTGCTTTAGATTTTGAAGCCACGACATTTTTATTGTAAAGAGATTTTCTTTTGAGATAGTAGCAGAAGAGAAGATGTTTGAATTCCAGAATATGTGAGCACCCTCTAGTGGAAAATAGAAGTCATTGCTTGCCTCTGGAAAACTGCTACATATAGTAATCCTGCCTGACAAACTGGGCTGCATTTACATACATGTAGTCCCCAACTTACGACCACAACTGGGACTGGAATTTCCATTGTTAAGTCATTGTAGTTGTAAGTCAAGCTGGACCAGAGTTTACAACAATTTTTATGGTGGTTGTTAAGTGAATCACTACAGACATTAAGAAAATTCAGCTTCCCCGGTAGGTGTTTTTTTGCCGGAAATTAGCAAAAAAAAAAGGGTCACAAATCATATGATGTAACTGCAGGATGCTGCAACAGGTTGTAAATGTGAGCAGCCAGTTGTCAAGTGCCTGAATTGTGATCATGTGACCTCAGGGATGTGCAACTGTCATAAGTGCAAGTACAGTTGTCACTTTTTTCAAGGATGTTGTGACTTTGAACTGTGATAAAACATAGAATCGTAGGGCTGGAAGAGGTCTAGTCCAAACTCCTGCTCAAGACAGGAGACCTTATACCAAGGGTAGGCAACCTTGGCTCTTTTATGACTCGTGGACTTCAACTCCCAGAATTCCTGAGCCAGCTCAGCTGGCTCAGAAATTCTGGGAGTTGAAGTCCACGAGTCATAAAAGAGTCAAGGTTGCCTACCCCTGCCTTATACCATCCTAGTCAAATAGTTGTTCGGTCTATTTTTGTAAACCTCCAGCAATGGAGCATCCTCAATTCCCAAAGTGTCTTTAAACGAACAGTTGAAAGTCAAGGGCTACCTGTAATTTAAAGCAACAGGCAACTGTATTGCGAAAACACATCTAGCCTTCCCCAAAAAATTTGGACCAATTTCTCAGCCATTTACAGCAGTGTTTCTCAGCATGGCTGGCTGGAGAATTGTGGGAGTTGAAGACCACACATCTTAAAGTTGCTAAGATTGAGAAAAACTGATATAGGGTATGAATTAGAATTATTCTGACTTTAAGATGACAACTTAAAGGGGTGTGGGCTTCAACTTCCAGAGTTGCCCAACAGGTATGATTTAGCATGATTTGTATTTATTGGCAGGAATTCTCCAGGGTTTTCTGCCCTGGTCCACGTTGGAGGTGTCAGGTATTATACTCGGAACTCGGAGGCCAGTAAATCTAGCACACAAAACCATGTTCTGAAGTTAGCCACCACTCAAATAAAAGATTGGGAAGAGGGATATCATGAGGATTGGAATTCCAGTCTCTCTGAATCTTAAATAACGATAAAAGCAGCAGCATCTGCATTCCATTTATTTCTTTATTATTTTGCAAACTGGCAACAGTCCTTGGTAAGTATAGCTGGTTGATTTATAGGTGCCCCTTTATAAAAAGAAAAGAAAGAAGCTGAGCCCATCTCCATAAGAGAAGGAGGTTCCTTTCTGAACCTCTTGGGAGAACAGAATAACAGCGCTGGAAGAGAGGTTTGGAGGTCATCTAGTCCAACCACTAGAAGACAGGCAGGAAACAGATCATTTCAAACAAATGGTTGTCTATTTGTCATCCAAAGGTCATCCCCCTTTGCATCTAGAAGCCTCAGCAGGGAGAGCTATCAAGCAGTCCCTCCTATGACTTAATTGTTGGCTGCTATGGTGCTGGTGATCCATGAGACGTAAGGCGCGGTCCGGGTGTAAATCCCAGGTTTCTTCACGTTGCCGCAAACAGTGGAGCCAGTGGTCACGATGCCTTCAGCAATGCCATTGCAAACGATAGGTCCACCAGAATCTCCCTGAGAAGAAAATCAGAGTCAGTCCCAGTTTTAATATTACCCTTATTAGTAATACCTTGCTTCAAATCTCACCTCCCCTGAGATTTTCCATCTATTCCTATCACTACTTTGTAAAGATGTGGTAAAGAAAATTAATAATAATAATAATAATAATAATAATAATAATAATAATAATAATAATAATAATAATAATAATAATAATAATAATAATAGAGTTGGAAGGGACCTTGGAGGCCATCTAGTCCAACCCCCTGCTCAGGCAGGAAACCCTATACCATTTCAGACAAATGGCTATCCAGTCTCTTCTTAAAAACTTCCAGTGTTGGAGCATTCACCGCTTCTGGAGGCAGGTTGTTCCACTGGTTAATTGTTCTAACTGTCAGGAAGTTTCTCCTTAGTTCTAGATTGCTTCTCTCCTTGATTAGTTTCCATCTGTTGTTTCTTGTCCAGCTTTCAGGTGCTTTGCTGAATAGCTTGACTCCCTCTTCTTTTTTTTTATAATATTTTATTAATTTTACAATTAAGTATTTAAAAAGCAACGTGGTGACTGGGTTAATCAATAATTCAATAACATACATAAGTCTTTAGTATAAATCTCAAGTTACAACATCAGATATTTCCTCTCTTTTTCTCTTAATATCTACTATCTCATAGTAGGCTAATACAGTTATTATTATTATCAACTAAGTAAAAACATCTTTGTTACATTTATCAATAATTTTTAGCTTATACATATCTTAATTGTGTTTGCATTCAATCTTATACAATCAATGTCCTGTTATTGCTTTTTTTCCCAAGCTTTAACTTCCCATCAATATTCAAATTAATATTTGGTATTTATAGTTTCCAAGCTTTAGGTAACCAAAGTTTCCCTTATCTCAACTTCTTCCTTTTTCCCTTTTCATAACAAAATCTAATATTCTAAATACACATCTTATCTATTTGAATATAGTCTTGTTTGTTTTCTAAAAGTTATCTATTTTCCACCATATTAAACCATCTAATTAATAATACAGTATCCCCTCTAATAAATCAAAACCATTATATGTATTGTCTGGGTTAACCAATACATCTTTTAGTTTAGGTCTAATTTTTAGAAGCTCAAATACTCCCTCTCTTTTTCTAGTAATATCTATTATCTCATATTGGGCAAACAGAATTCTTATTTTCAACTGAGTAAAAAAAAAATTCTTGTTACATTTATCAATACTTTTTAGCCTATACATAAACTTTAATTTCCATCAATATTCAAAAAAAGGGGGGGAAACCATGTTATTTATGATTTCCAAATATTTTATATTAGGTGACCAAAATTTCCCTTATCTCAACTTCTCCCCTTTTCCCTTTTCATACCAAAGTCTATTACTCTTGTTACACATCTTACCTATTCAATTATAATGTTACTTTATTTTCTAAAAAATGTTTCCATACAAAATGTTGGAAATTGGAAGAGGGATTTCTCAGTAAAGGCTGAGTCTCTTTGAATGATCTGAAATGTTGTTTCCCAGATTTCTCTCCACTCTTTGAATGGTACGGGAGTATGAACAGATTTCCAGAAAAAATTGCAGACTACAGGCACCATTTGCACTTCAGTTTGAGATGCAGACAACACAGACTCATCCCCAACACCTGTGCCTGTGTTCAAGGGACACTGGGCAGAAGACATCCTGCAGGAAGCACAGCTCCACACACACAGTCCTTTCAGCAGTACCAAGAAGGCTCCACACCCATTTGCACTACTCAGGTGACCCTGAGGACACAGACAACCCCCCCCCCAAGCAGCCTCAATGACTCTCTAAAAGAATGCAAATGACCAGCTGTCTGCAAGGAGTATAAATCCTTCCATTCCCCACCATCCAGTCAGAGCTGAAGAAGCTTCTTGGATGAGAAGCGAAATGTCTTCAAAGAAAAACAAGAAAGTCCAGTTGCCTCTCAAAAAAGCACCTTTGGGACTACTTTGCAAATGTTTCTTTTACTCAAAATGCAATGCTCTTTTCTACAGCTATGCTCTCATATTATTGGATGCTGGAACTCCTGTGATGTGACTGAACAGATGACTGTTTCTAAACCAATCAGCCTTTGTTTTGAAGTTCTTTGTTGTGCTAACTGTTAAGTCCTTGGTTAGGCAATGATAGAGAGGCAGACATGCTGTTGTAACAGGAACCTTCTTTATTTCTCCTCCGAACTCCTCAGACCAAAACGGAGGCTCGCAGGCTTCTTGCGACTCTCTCAACGGCAACAGAAACTGTCCGGGTAAACTTGCTACTTCTTTCGCGCTCTTGGTGTCTTGCGCATGCGTGCAGGCTGGCGCCGGTTTGTCTGGCCCTGGGCAGCTTACAGCAGCCCGTTGCCATGACAATGTCTGAGCCTGCTGCCGCAGGCTCAGGACACAACACCCCTTCACCCCCGGATGAAACTTGCCAACATACATGCACATACGTGTAAGCATGTCCGTGACTTCTGATGGAACGTGGTGCCTTAGACATGCATAAACATATATGTGGATTGCTTAGGTAAGCCTAAGGCACCTAAATGGTACCATGCTATCCTTTTGAAAATATTCGCCAACACTTCCACACATTACTAGCAGGTTGACAACAACCTTACAAAATCCTCCAGGTACTGTGGAGGCCGTTTGTTACGTTGCGACCTCCTCAACCCCGGGGAACACCCCAGGCTCCCTTGTGTACAAGGTGTGGCGGGGCTGACCCCTCTTTGATACCCTGGTGGTCCTGGTGACCTGGCTCCTGTTGCCTGGCCTGCTTGCTTGCCCACCGGATTACACAGACCAGGACTTTGCTCTCTGCCACATTGTGGCGATCTGTCTACAGCCATACTACCAGGGCTCTCAGGACGCCATTCCCCATCACTCGGGACTGTGGAATTCTCCAGGTCCACAATGGACCAATCTTGGGTGCGCGGGAGTTCACTCCCAAGCCCTGTGACCGGGTTGTCTGTGGCTTCTTCAGTGCCCCAATAACCAACCACCCCTGGGCCTGTGCCCGATGAACCAGAGTCATGATTCACCTCTCCGGCTACTTCCCCTTGTACAGACTTCCTTCTGGGAGCAATTTCTGTATTTCACCAGTTCCTTTGATTATGTGCCAGCTCTCTTGTACAGTTTGAGTTGTGAGGACGCTCCCTGTTAATCTCCCTGTCTGGAGTACTGATTTGGGTTTGTGGACTGTTGGGATACCACCTGGGTGACTCCCTGGCTGGAGTATGTAGTGAGTGCTGTACTGGTTCATGTTCCCATGAATTCCCGTTTGGCACACTTGCGGAACCCTGAGACAGACCTTTCCTTGATCCCTCCTGGTTCCCCTCCCCCCCCAGAGAAAACCCCAGCGTAGGAAAAGAAGAGTCCATTCTTTTCCGCAGCTGGTCAATATGCCGCCGCAGGATGCGGCCGCCCTCCATGGAAACCTCATAAGACAGAGGCCCAGTAACCTTGCAGACGACCGCAGGAATCCAAGGATGACCAGGAACGTAATTCCGGGTCCAAACCGGAGCGCCCACTGTCAAACACCGCAGCGCCCGTGGTTGAGACTCCAAGGGTGCCAACCTATCAGGATGCAACCTGTCCAGTTTAGTGGTCAGTCTGCGACCCCAGCAGAGTTCTGCTGGGCTTTTCCCAGTAGCAACTGACGGTGTGGTGCGGTGCGCAAGAAGAAAGTCAGCCAACCTGTGGTGCCAATCCCCATAATTCAGCTTCTTCAGGGCGTCCTTGGTGACGCGCACCATCCTTTCAGCCATGCCGTTGGTGGAAGGGTGGAAAGGTGCCGATGTCGCATGCCGGATCATGTTGGCTTGAAGGAAAGCCTGGAACTCCGCCGACGTGAACTGCGGGTCGTTATCTGAAACTAAGACATCTGGCAAACCGTGAGCTGCAAAAATGCCTCGCAACACCTGGATGGTCCTGGCAGTAGTAGTGGACGAGAGAGGCATAACTTCCAGCCACTTCGAATGGCTATCCACAAGCACCAAGAATTGCCCCTGAAAAGGCCCAACATAGTCCACGTGGACACATGACCATGGCATGAGTGTTTCCTCCCACCTGTGCACTGGGGCATGTGGCATCTCTGGCCGTGAACGCTGGCATAGGTGACACCCATGCACGTGGGCCTCTATGTCCCTGTCTAGTCCCAGCCACCATAGGTGGCTGCGCGCAAGCGCCTTCATCCTGACTATGCCAGGATGGCCCTCATGGAGAGAAGGCAAGATCCTTGACCTCAGCGAGGTAGGAATAACCACCCTGCTGCCCCACAGCAAGCAACTCTTAAAGGTGGATAACTCATGCCTCTTGAGCCAAAAACTCTGGAACTCAGGACCAGGGCTTCTGTCAGGCCACCCCGATAGAACCCAGGAGAGCACACGAGTAAGTGTGGCATCAGTGGCGGTTTCAGCCACCACATCCCTCGCATTAAGTGGAGATTCAGGCAGCTCCTGAATAGACAGAAGATTAACGGCAGGAGCGGGGTCAGCCTCAACTGTTGGTAGGGGTAGCCTACTGAGACCGTCTGCATGGCCCATTTCCTTACCAGGTTTGTGAATTAAAGAATAGTCATAGGCTGACAAAAAAATAGACCACCTTAACATTCTAGGGGAGATAATCTGGGGAGTTTGTTTACTGGTGGTAAACAATCCCAACAGCGGTTTATGGTCAGTGTAGACCGTGAAATGCCTGCCATATAAGAAATCATGGAATTTTTTAACACCTGCTACTATGGCCAATGCTTCTCTGTCTATTTGAGCGTAATTGCGCTCAGCAGAAGACAGGGTCCTAGAATAGTAAGCAACAGGAACCTGGGTTCCATCAGCATTCAAATGGCTGAGAACAGCACCCACCCCATAAGGGGAAGCATCACAGGCGACACATACAGGTAATTTCTCATTGAAATGAGCAAGTACATCATGAGATGTAAGCAAGGCCTTGACCTCATTGAAGCTCCGTTCGTGGACCTTGGTCCACTGCCAGACTGCTTGCTTGTCTAAAAGCCTGT